ACAGGCAAACTTCATAATCTACATGCAGTCACCTGGATAATTCATATAAATCCTGTTCCTGTATGGAGAATTTGCAAGGGCACCTTAAGTAATTGCTGTAGAAAAAATTGACTTTTGCAGTATATTTTCTTCTATTTTTGTTAGTTTAAGTTCCATAAATCCTTATCCAATTTATTTGGCAATATTTCTTAGTTTCCTCACTCTTTACCTGTAACTAACTTTACTTGACTTGCTTATGTCAAATCCTTCTGAGATGACTGAAAAATACTGTAAAATTCAAACAGACATATTAAACTAGAGAGAATACCATCCACTTTTTGGAGATTGAAAATATATTTGTATTACCCTATGTATTCACTTAGGCCTTAATTCAGAAAATCAGTTAAGTATGGGTGTAATTTTAGGCATAGGAGTTGTCTTATAGAATTCACCGGTGACTATTCATGTGCTTGAAGTTACACACATTTAAGTGTTTTGTTAAATCAGATCTTGGCAGTCTAGAAAATATCAGCATTCCAATATTCAATAAAATGCTGTGAAAAAGCTCAGTGTGCCTGATGCAAAATTTGAATTGTACACTCATCAGAGCGAGGCACAGGTGTGTGTGGGGGTGGGAGTGTTTGTATGCAACTGCCAAATACTAATAATACAAAAATAATTATTACAAGGCTCTTATTATTCATGGGAGCAGAGGGACTGGGCTCCGAGTTTCCCATTGCCAAAGCAGGTACTCTAACTGCTAAGCTAGAAACTTTCTCACACTTACATTAATGACTCTTTCAGCATTTGTCCAAAATGGAAGAACTTCAAGAGGAGAAACTGACAGAGGCCCAGATCACAATAGCCTGTAGCCCAGGGTTAGAAAATGATCCTGAGAGACAGAAAATCCCTATTCAGAAACCTCTTTCTCCAACAGGAAGAGTGGGAAATTGAACCTGTTCTCCCATATTCCAGCTGAGTCCTCTAACACTGGGCAAAAAGTTGGAAGGTGGGCAGCACTTTTACCACTGCCTCTGAGCATGCATATTGAATAATGCCCTATCCATGAGATGAGAGGGCAAACACCAATCTCCCCCTGGTTTGTAGCTCACTCTGGATCTTGTGCAGGAAATAAACATCCAGGCTGTGTCTACACTGGCCAGTTTTTCCGGAAAATCAGCCGCTTTTCCGGAAAAACTTGCCAGCTGTCTACACTGGCCGCTTGAATTTCTGCAAAAGCAGTGACTTCCTACTGTAAGAAATCAGTGCTTTTTGCGGAAATACTATGCTGCTCCCGTTCGGGCAAAAGTCCCTTTTGTGCAAAACTTTTGCGCAAAAGGGCCAGTGTAGACAGCTGAGATTTGTTTTGTGCAAAAAAGCCCCAATCACGAAAATGGCGATCAGGGCTTTTTTGCACAAAAGCATGTCTAGATTGGCCACGGACGCTTTTCCGCAAAAAGTGCTTTTGTGGAAAAGCGTCTGTGCCAATCTAGATGCTCTGTTCCGAAAATGCTTTTAATGGAAAACTTTTCCATTAAAAGTATTTCCGGAAAATCATGCCAGTCTAGACGTAGCCCCGGAGGCCAATAGTGAGGTAGTAATGCACATGCCCATTGGGCGAAAACATAAGTGCCTAGGAAATTTTTATCCTGAAAACTTAGGCACCTACAAGGATAGGGGGGAGATTTTTCTGGATTCTGGTGGATCTTAGAAATAGGATTTAGTCAATATAAGTACCTTTCTGGGTTTGGATCTGGGCCTAAACAGGGTGGAATTATTTAAATCAAGATGATTTATATCATTGACTTAAGTCACACTTTAAATCACCAAAAAAAAAAATTGATTTAAATCAAGTAACCAAGAAAGCTAAAACTTACAGCACTTAAAGCGCACCTAATGTTGGAGTAAATTCCACTGAATTCACTGAATTCTGTTTTTTGAGAGAACAAGTATAGAACAGGGTTTCCTTGGAAAAGCTAAGATATGCTGAAGTAAAATAGGAAATAAATATATGGCATCACCATTATGCTCTGTGGTCGTGATGTTCCAATAAGGGTCATGTATTATGTAATATAAAATAAGAAAAGGTCAGTCAGTGGCAACTGGCAATTTTAGATTTCTCTTACTGCAGCTTTCTGTATTGTATACTTGAGTGATAGACTCTAAATCTAGTTAACTTATTAAACAAGCCATAAAAATTAACTTTTTTCTAGGAACACCCAACACAACTAACAGCCTGTCGGAGTCTTGAAGAACGATGCATTGCAGAGTTAATTATTTAAGTTACTAACCAGTTGATCCACTGAGCCATATCCACATCATTTTCTTTCAATAAGCAATTTTTCTTATGTTGTTTCATTCTTGCAACTAGGCCCTGTATCATCATCTTGCACTGCTTACACTTGACACATTTTACACAGGGAACAAATTTTTTTCAAAATAGTCCCTCTTACACTCAGAAGCCACAACGGTTTTTCTGTGAAAAAAGTATAGGGGAATATAAAAAGCTGTGTATATGTTGCATAATGTTTTCTCTTTTTCTTTCCACTCCACTCCACTGTTCCTTTCCATGCTGCCCCCATCCTTTCCTATACATTCTCTCTCTTTAAGGCAATGTCTCAACTAAATCCCCTGCCATGCTTGGCTATGGTCCACCACCACATAAGCACAGAACAAAACCAATCCCATCCAGCTTGTGTCTTTCTTTACACTTGTTACTTTTTAATGTGCCAAGAAATAGAAATTGAAAGCCCAGAACTTTCAAGAAGCAAGAACTGGTAGTTAGGCTGGATAGACCAGAGCCATTAATTCATTTTTATGAGACTGTAAATGTGTGTGTGTGGCATATTTGTGATGAGATGTAAATGCAACTTATTTCTAAATGAGACATTTAGCATTTTATTGATGATTTTTTAAAAAAAAATTGAAATCCGATTTAAATCAAATAAAAAATCAGATTTAAATTTAAAAGTCCATTTTTTTAATCATCAATTTTTATCCACCTTGGGCCTAAATCTCAAGCTGCCTGTGCACCTGCTCCCAGAGGGTATGTTTTCTAGAGAGGAATGCAAATGCAGCTGAGCGAAATTGCAAAATGAAGCACAGATTTCAATTTCCCGCACTTCATTTGCATTATCACATCCAGGCGCTATTTTGAAATATCCTATTTCAAAAAAAGAAATGCAGTCTAGACGAGGTTATTTCGAAAGAAATCCAACAGGTATTTTGGCAAACATTCTGAAAAACAGAATCTCCCTAGGTAATCTGTTCCAGTGCTTAACTGGCCTTATAGAAAGTTTCTCAGTATCCAAAACAAATCCCCTTTGTTGCAAATGAAGAGTATTACTTCTTATCCTGGACATGGATATCAACTGTTGGCCATCCTCTTCACAGCAATCTTTTACATGTTTGAATTCGTATACAGTAATTCCTCGCTTAATACGTGCCCGCTTAACATGTTTCCACGATAGCACAATTTTTTTTTTTTAGGGAACATTTTTCAAACAACACGACCCGTCCCTGCAATAACACAATCTCCCCTACTGGCTGGCTGGTCACCAGCAGCTGCGCGGGGCTTCCCCTGCCTCCCTGCAAAGCGGCGGAGGTTTGCTGCTCGCCGCACTGTTCCCCGGCGACCCCCTCTAGCCAGATGCTTTGCTCCCTCTCCTCCACCCCCTCTTGCAGCTAGTGGCTTGGTTTCCCCAGCTGGCTGATCACTGGCACCTGCACAGGGCTTCCCCCTGCATCCGGAGGTTTGCTGCTCACCACGCCATTCTCCGGAGACCCCTTCTGGGGATGCTTCGCTCCCTCTCCTCCCCTGCTGGGAGCCGGCAGCTGGGTTTCCTCAGCTGGCCGGTCACTGGCAGCTGCTCAGGTCTTCCCCTGCCTCCTTACAAAGCAGCGGAGGTTCATCGCTTGCCGCGGTGTTCCCCGGCAACCCTCTCTGGCTGGATGCAAGGAGGCTGGGGAAGTCCCGCACAGCTGCTGGCAACCAGCCAGCTGGGGAAATCCAGCCGCCGGCTGCAAGCCCCCTCCCCTGTCCCTCCCTTCTCCAGAGCCAAACACCTCCCCTCCCTGCTATAACCCAGTTCCTTTCTCCCCCAACCTGCAGGCTGGAGCTGCCAGCTCATGTGTGCTTGAAATGCAACCTCCACCTTTTCCATTATTTTCAATGGGAAAAGTGGGCCTACATAACACATTTTCACTTAGCACAATCATTTTCTGAAACATATCTACCGTGTTAAATGAGGAATTACTGTATTCCACCTCAGCCTTCTCTCCCCTAGGCTAACTGTGCCCAGTTCTCTCAATCTTTCTTCATATGTAATGATTTCTAAACACCTTATTGCTGTGGCTCTCCTCTAGACTCTCTCCAATGTGCCCATTGTTCTTAAAAGTGTGGCACCCAGAACTGAACATTGTACTCAAACTGAGGTCTTACCACTAAAGAGCACAGCAGAATAGCTACCTCCCACATTATATATGAAGCTCTTGTTAATATACCCCAGAATGCCATCTTTATTTTTAGTAACAGCATCATACTATTGATTCTTTCACTTTGTGATCCACTATAACCCAAGATCCTTTTCAGCCACACTGCTGCTTAGCCAGTTATTTCCCATTTTGTATGAATACCATTGATTTTTCCTTCTTAAGTGTAGTACTTTCAACTTGCCTTTATTGTATTTCATCTTGTTTCAGACCAATTCTCCTATGTATCACGATTATTTTGAATTCAAATTCTGTTCTCTGAAGTGCCTGTAATGTTTCCAACGTAGTGTCATCCCATTAGTATAACACTCACGCAAACCCTCGATGTTATTAATAGTGGAAGTGCTAGTGCCAATTTTTGCACCCTTAAAGCTTTTCAGCCAAGGGAGCTGAAAATGTGCCAGACAAGTAGTGGGTGAGTTGGTACAGATTTTCAAAGTGCAACAAGTGAACCACTGCCAGTATCAGAATTCCTAATCAGTAGTTGTTAGCTCCCACAACCATGTTCAATTGACTACATCAAACAGACACAATTCAAAGAGAAAATGTGTATTTTTTCTTTTATACAAATGTTTAGAATGTTAACAAGAAAAATGAATTTCAAATATATACCAAATGTATTAGAAGTTAACATGGAAAGCATGTAATACATAACTTTGTGGTATATCCTCCCCATTTTGAACATTTGTTACTCAGACCACACATGATCCTAGACGAGTTAGCAGTAGAAATTTAGGATAATTTCTTTTCTGATATTTAGAATGTTAGTACTGGGGAAATGATGGATCGATTTTCCTAGCCCAAGCCATAAGCCCCCCTTGAATGTCCTTAGCTACTATAGAGCCAAGTTCTTTGTCAGGCAACTCCTGTAAAACTCGCACAGCTTTCTGGGAGTCATTTCCTAGTTTGCAAATAACATATACTGGGAAAGCTGTTTTGCTACTAGTTCTTTGCTTTTCTTTACATATTCTCTTTCCTAAATATTTCAAACATTCTTCATTTTGTCCCTCTAGTTTACTTAAAGGAACATGGACAGAGTGTGCAAGGGAACAGATATCCACTTCTACTTGTGGACGGACATCTACCAGTATATGTGGGACTTGCTCATCCCATAGCTTTTTGTACTCCTCTACAGATATCCTTTCTTTGCTTGTCAGTAGATGTAAGGATCTACACTTGTCTGTTGCAGATGAACCACAGAATGCTTCATAATCCTGTAGGCTGGTCATAGTTGGACTGTCACCGCAAATGGCACAGTCTGATTTCTTGGGTCTTAATTTGATGTTACGAAATCTGCCTTCAAGGGCATCAAACATCAGCATGAACTGGCTGAAGCCAGAACCTATCCCTGAAGCTATCTTCAGCACCTCCAAGGCCTGGATGCACCCCATGATGCCTGGCACAACGCCCAGGACTCCCCCATCAGCACAGTTGGTCACTGTCTCTGGTGGAGGTGGCTTTGGGAAGAGGCAGCGATAGCAGGGTCCTCCTTGGTAGTTGTACACAACCAGCTGCCCCTCCAGCCGGAGAGCACTGGCTGATACAAGCGGTTTCCCAGCGAGCACACAGGCATCACTGACCAGGTACCTGGTGGGGACGTTGTCTGAGCAATCCGCCACCACGTCGTACTGCCTGACCAGCTCCAGGGCAGTGCTGGGACTCAGGGCCAGGTGGTAGGGCACGTATTGCACCGCAGAGTTCAGCTGGCGCAGGCTGGCAGCTGCGGACAAGGCCTTGGGCAGCCCTTCCCTGGCCTCCCCGTGCAGGACCTGTCTGTGCAGATTACTCATCTCCACATCTTTCTCCATGACGGGCACAGCTGTGCCCCCCTTCCCACCTGCAACAATTATTTACACTGGGCTTGATAATAAATAAATGTGTTTTTAAGAAGTATCACAAGTAGGAGTTAAGTGATTGCAAGTCACCACCACCAGCACGGAGCAGCGGGACAGGCGCAGCTGCCCTCGCACTCCCAGCTCGGGAAGCACCAGCTGCCGGCTGTAGCGCAGAATCTCCGCCAGGCTGAGGGAGGCCCTGGCCTGCAAGGTGGGCAGCTCCGAGCCCGGCTCCTCCTTCGCCAGGACGCTGGCCAGCTGCCCCTGCAGGGCGCTTAGCTCCTGCTCCCTCCGCTCGATCTCCGCCCGCAGTCGGGCCGCCTCGCTCAGAGCCATCGCCAGAGGGATGGGGGGAGGGGGGAAGCAACCGGCACCGCGTCACGGGGGGAGGCCGCTTCCGCTTCCGGTCCAACCCCGCCCAGTCTCCACGGCGACGTCGGTGCCACGCGCCGGGGGAGGTGCGCATTGGCTGCCTGGGTCCCCGAGGGACGTAACCGCTCCCTGGGTTCCGGGTGGTTTCTGGGCCCGCCATGGCCGCGGCCCGCGGGCGCCGGGCTGAGGAGAAGTACTCGGTGCTGCTGCCCACCTACAACGAGCGCGAGAACCTGCCGCTCATCGTCTGGCTGCTGGTGCGGAGCTTCCAAGAGAGGTACCGAGGCCCGGCTGCCTGCGCCCGACTCCGCGCCTCTTCACCGGGCCGCCGCCGCGGTGCCCGTGGGGAGCCTGCTGGACCCTGCGCCTCTGGAGGCCCCCGCAAGGGGCTGGCGGGACTGCCCCGTCCAGCCGAGCTCGGGCCGCGGCGGTACCGCGAGAGGAGCCCCGCGGCGGACACGGGCGCTCCGCGTGAGCCCCCTTCAGCGTGGGGTGGGCGCGGGGAGGCCTGGTTTTATCGTGGCTGTTTGCGCCGGTAGCGCCTGGTCCCGGAGCAGCCCCGCCCGTGCTAGGCTAGAGGCTCTCAAAGGCGGCGGGAGGGTGGTGACTGCTAGGGATGTAAAATCCCATTGAAAATGTGAACCTGTCACGTTAACCGAATAACCGGCCCGCTGCCGGCGAGGGCTGCTCCGCCCTGGGCGCAGGTTAACCAGATAGCCCTTTCCCCCCCTAGTTACTGCAGGAGGGTCCCTTCCACCTCTGAGCCTTCGCCCCCACCCTGCTTTGCGGCCAGCATTCATAATAATGTTAACTATTATAAAGCTTTACAATGTATAAGGGGGGAGGGGAGTTGTATCCCTGTAAGCTGTGCTTGGGTGGCCACCCAGGAGAGATTCAGATGCCACCCAGCTGATCAGCAGGGCACACATAGCTGCCCAGGGCCAGCAGCATGTGTTTCTGCTGGTGGTGCACATTCACACGTGCCTTGATGATGCTTATAACTGCATATGAATGGGAAAAAATTAGAGGGTACACTCAAGCTAGTTGTGTGAAAGGGGGTTAACCGCTTGTGCAACTGCTCAGGAGAAATTCAGATACCACCCAGCTGATTTGCAGAGTGCCCACAGCTAAGTTTTGTGTTTTAATTGGTGGTGCATATGCCTCAGTGCCTATAAAAATTTATTGTGCACTGGATGAAAAAAATCTGCACGTAGATAGAAAAGATTAGAGGAAACTGTGGTCACCAGTACAAGAGTTTGAGAACTACTAGAGTTCCCACCTGTAGAACAAAACTACAGTGCCTGCCCCAAGAAAGTGGCTCTCAAATATTTTGGCCAGCGGTCCACCCTGCTCAACGCAACCTCTTCCACAGACCACCAAACAACCACCCATGATGATTCTATAAGATTCTATAATGACAAAATGGGTGCAGGAGCTGACTGAGGATTTGGGGTCTGGATGGGAAGGAGGATGCAAGAGCAGGTTGAGGGTGCAGGGTCTTGGCACAATGGAGGTCTAGGTATGAGGGAGATGGAGAGATGCTTACCTTGCTCTGTGTCTCCCGTCCCCTCCCCTCCCCTCCAACTGGCTGAGATTCCAGCCAATAGGACCAGTGGGGAAAGACTGGGCACACGGTTTCCTGCACTGCTATTACCCCAGTTGAGGGTAGTGGGAGCAGTGCGTGGAGCTGCTTCCTGTCCCTGCAAGCCGGATCCCGCCCACGAGGCTTCCCTCCACTCCCCAGCGGGAAGCTGGCACTTTAACAAAATGGAAGGGAAGCAGCCCACCTACAAGATGATTGCAGACTACTAGTGGCCCATGGACCACACTTTGAGAACCACTGCCCAAGAAGCTTACAATTAAATGTTTCACTCTTCTGGATTTGCTTTTCAGAGGTCTTCGTTTTGTGGGCATTCCTCCTCTCACCTCCCAACCCATCACACACAGAATTTTGAAAATCCTAACGATATATATTCATTTAATTAGGTGGTCCATGCCTGTAAGCATTTATTAAGTATTAGCAATAGTCTAGAAATATGACTAAGTCATGCATGGTGTGAAAACGGGTAAAATCTGTTAGCAGTGGAAAGTGCTGTAGCTGTGCCTGTCCTCTAACAGGAATGCTATTTTTCACTGTAATTATTTAGGGAAACAAAATTACTGTAAACAGAGTGCTAATCTGGCATCTGTAATCACTCCCGCACCACTACAAGGAAGAAGTACGAGACCAAGGGACCATTGATTGTGAGACTCTGGACATTAAAACAGCCTTTATATCTTACTGCTACTGTTGCAGTTGCTTCACAGCAAATTCCAACTTAAGATGCAAGTGAAATTACATGTCTCTAAAAGCTGCATTTTTTTGTTCTCTTGTTTAATGTCTTTTGAAACAGTGTAGCTACTGAAATTGGCTTCCCACCTGTTCATTTCAAAATATTTGTCCTTTCAGTGGAAACAACTTTGAGATTATAGTCATAGATGATGGAAGCCCAGATGGGACACAAGAAGTCGCTGAACAGCTGGAAAAGATATATGGTTCAGATAAAATTGTGAGTAATAGGTTTTTTTCTTTGCTTTTATTTTTTGTTGGATAGGGGAGGGAAGTGATTTAGAGTGGGGGAATTAGTCAGGATTTCTGGATGCAAGACATGGTTTTCTTTATATCTCTTGTCAAGCTGTTAAAGTTTTGTGTCCCAATTTACATTATGATAGAAGCAAAGGACCGGAAGAGACAAGAAGAGGCCATGATGATAAATGTCAATTATTGTAATAACAGCACCCTCACAAGGAATATTGTGAGGCCCATGAATTAATGTTTGCAAAATGTTTTTATTACTTTGAGCACATGCCTCATTCCAGTCAGATGATGATGGCGATTGTATTTGGTCTGTGGATATTTAAAAGAAAAGATGAGGAGTAGATAAAGTTGAATTTCACTTTCTTTGGATGCAGGTGTGAGCATATAGACAGATGTGTGTTAATCTGCCCTTCATTATTTTCTTCATATTAATTAGTATATTTACTTAGAAGACCCATCCTTCTAGCAGTATTGTTAAGGATTTCTGTTTTCTGTACTACTACAGAAAAATAGCATGGAATAAACATATATACCAGATATATGAGGTGGAATAAATATCACTTGAATTCAGACATTATGTATTTAACCATGCTTCATTTCAGTGATAAAGGCACATAAGCATAATATGATCTGAGAACTAGAGAGTATGTGTTTTGAGCTATACATCATGTAATCTGTCTTCTCTCCGTCTCCACCCCCTCCCCCATCTCTTGTGTCTATTAATTGGCAGTTGTAAGTTTGATTTTTCTGGAACTGAAGTTTCCGATTGAGAGTTTACAAAAATCTTGAAAAAGATTATTTTAAGAGAACTGTATATATGTTGTTTGGAGTGTTTTGTAGAATTTTCTATTGCTATTTTGTATAAGACAGTTATACCAAATGCAGGTCACTACTTTGTCTCTAAGGTCCCCAATCCTGCATGTGAGCGGACCCTGGCATCACCATGGAACCCTATATGGTTTTGGGAAACTTCTTGCAGATCAAAGCATCTGCTTACTCTGATCTAATTTCAGGAAAGTAAGAGCATCAAGACAAATCAATTATTATTTATTTGTAGTCCAGTTTTCTTTGTTTCCTGAAATTAATTGTAGGCGGAGAGCAAAATCAGAGGTGACTGATGCTTAAAGATCTGCATTTAAATAATTTTGTTGTGCATCTTATTCACTAAGAACTGTATTGTGGTCTGAGTAAGTTCCTTCGCTAAAGGTCAAGAAGTTTATAGCAAATGGATGCTGATAATCTACTTGTGATTTTGTAAAATTGGCCAACAAACTTTGGGGTTGAGACCACTATGCAGAATTAGACTAAGATTTGTAGAGTAAAGAGAATAAAATAACCACTCTGTACAAGCTTTAATGATTGAATTTTTACAGAAGGTCTATCCTTGCTGTCCTTTGATTTTTACACATGATTATGATCTCACAGTCACTAGGGATGTTAAAATTAGATTAATCAACTAATCAAATAATCGATGGAATTTCCATGGACTCTTGAATTTGTCTATAAGAGGGTTTCTGCTTTGAAATGTAGCAAGAGCCTGCCCAGTTGTTGCTACATTTCAAAGGCGGAAGTGCTGTGCAGCACTGTGCATTTCAAAGACTGAAAAACCGCTTCTGCTTTGAAATATACAAGAGCCTTAGTGGGGGCTCTTGTACATTTCAAAGGTGGAACACTGCTGCTGTGCCCCTGCCCCCTCCCAAAGAGCTGGAGCTAGGGGAACCAGCTTTTAAGCCAGCTTCCCCCCACCCCCACCCCAGCACCTGCTCCTCTCTCCCCCGCGCCCCCTTTCCTCCCCCCTCCCTGCCCCCATCCTTGCTGCCTTTTTCTGGTAGAGGCAGCAAGGGGGGAAAGTGACTAGTCGATTAGTGTGTCACTTATCCAATAAGCATGTGCTTATCGGATAGTCGACTAGTCAATTAGTCGCATACATCCTGAGCAAGTCACTTGAAGCCAAGATTTTTCAAATGAAGGGGTCTGAAGTTAAGCTCCAAAATCCCATATTTGGTTAACCCTTTTCAGTGAGCACCCACCAACTCTTACTAATGCCAGTGAGAATTTTGAGGTGCTCAGCACTCTTGACAATCAGAAGGAATATAAATATGGACTTGAGTGTCCAAGGTTAGACTTAAAAAAAAAAACCTAGAGCTGTGATGTGCTCAACTCCCAGAGCTCCCTCTGATTTCTATGGGAGCTGAGAATGGTCAGCACAGAAACAAGGGGTATATGTTATTAAAAAAAAAAAATCTTAATGGTGACTTCAGTAAGCTGATTTGCACACACATGAAATTCAGCTGAATATTTAATCAATATTTAGTTATGACTGTCTTAGGCCACTTTGAGAGTTTGCTCAGATACTAATCTATAACGTTTGTCACTCCACAAAACAGGTAAGGGGTAAATGTGTTCAGTTTTGTAAAAGGGTATTTTAAACCATAGGTATTAGGGGAGAGGAGGCATAAAACAACTAGAATGACTTCCTTACATAGTGGTGGTTCTTCTTTAAAATTTAAAATAGATTGGCTTTTAATCTAGTTTATATATCCAGTTAATATAAATATTTCTGTTGAAACTGTCTTTCCTTTGATTAATTTGATTCCCTGTAGTATCTAGATTTTTAAAGGAAAAAATGTTTTTCTAATATTGGTTCAGTATCTTGAGCTATGCAATAGTGAGATGTTACTGAAAGTAGGGATGTTAAAAAGCGTTTAATACAGTAACTATGTAGTGGCTAAAAATCTTAGTGGTTACACACACTGTGGGCTCTTCAGTGTGAAGCTTAGCTTTAAACTGCAGATCCCGCAGCAAAGCTTCTCCAGGAGTGGAGCCACCAGCCCCTGCAGGCCTGACTCCCAGGGAGGAGGCTTTGCTGTCCTGCCTCAGCAAAGCCACCTCCCTGAAAACCAGCTGAGTTTAAGTGTAACCAATACCATTAACCAGTAAGCATCAGCTTATTGGTTCAACAGTGATTTGAATACACTCTAGCATCCCTAACTGAAAGTAAGAAAAACTGTAGTCCTGACTCATATAACATTATTAATAAATGGCCTAATTTTGGTCCCCTCTCCTCAATATCTTTCAGCTTCTAAGGCCAAGAGCAAAAAAGTTGGGATTGGGTAAGTACTCAGTAAGCTGATGATTTAGAGGGTAACTTCTTGCTCTCTGTTTTGTTTGTTTTTTAGTTTTGACATTCCACAGAAGGAGTGGACCTTCAGATAGAAATAAACATTTGCACCAAGTAATTATAAGCAAACAAATGTGTAATGATTAAAAATGTCACACATGTTCTATTGTAGTGAACTTAAAATGAATTCCCCACAACCTCAAACCTGCAAATTTTTAGTTTGATCCATCTACGTAGTAGCAGGAAAACATAGTTAATGTACTATGCTCATCCTTCTCTCCCTGGTCCACCTATTTGTATGCAATCAAAGCCTCTTATACATGGGCAGGCTGCTATGCTCACATGGTACCCCATTGACTCAGTGAAATCACTAGGTCTCTGCACAAATGTAGCAGTCATGCAAGTGCAGCAAATTACAGGGTTGGGACCTTAATTTAAGGTCATCAGAGTAGGGATTCTTTCCTACTGTGTGTTTGTACAGTGCTCATTGTGTCTTGGCTCAATTTATTAAGACCTCTTGGTACTTAATAATTCAAATAATACATTTCCCTGAAAGGTCCAGTCATGCAAAGTGCTGAGCACCATCCTCCTCTATTAAGTTCAGTGTGAATTTGAAGTCTTTTCGTGTAGTTACAGGAGTTGCCTATCGCTTACCAGAATGCAGTCCTAATTTTGGGGCCAGTCTTGAACCATTGTAATAAATTCTAAGACTTCTGTGGATTTAAATTATCAAAATTAGGTTTTCTGTTGCTCTGCTGTTGACTTCTTACTACTAATGAAGGACCTTATCTGCTTTTCGTTAAGAATGTTAAATTTAGATTAATCAACTAATCAAATAGTCAATGTAATTTGCATTGACTATTTGATTAGTTGATAAGGGCACTTCCCCCTTTGAAATGTAGCAAGAGCCAGTAGGGCTCTTGCTACATTTCAAAGGCGGAAGCGCCACAGGGAGCATGGCCAGTGAGGGATTCAAACAGTCCCTCGCCGGCCATGCACTCCGTGCTTTTGAAATGTACAAGAGCCAGCTCTCCCCAGCACCGGATCCTACTCCCAACCCCTTGATAGAGTCAGCAAGTGGGCAGGGGGAGCGACTAGTCGAGTCACTAGTCGCTTACATCCCTTCTTCATTGTTATTTTTTTTAACGGCAAAAACTATGCATTTTTGTTTTGCTTTGTTTTTTAAACTCAAGTGTAAACATTTATCACAAAACATACTGGGGAAAAATTAGTCTGTTTGGACTCATGCCTCATGACAGATTTTTTTTTTTTCAACTCCAGTATTGGAAATGTAAAAAGCAATGGAATACAATCTACCTTCTTGACTTAATGAAAATCAGTATTAGTCTTTTACTGAATCTCTTCACACCTCCCACTTCCACAAGCTAGTGAAATATTTCATATGCCCTGTTTATTGAATGTTATGCAGTTAATCTACTTTTCCCACAGGAAATGTTTAACTATGGTATGTGCCAATACGCAATAGGGGAACAAAGTTCTAAGTCTAATATTGAATTGTCTGTATTTAAATTCACCTTTTATATCTGGTTGCATTTCTTATTTAGATATGAGACACTAACAAGCCTAGGTATCTTTTTATTTTCTACCTAATTTTAATCTTGACCTTGGTTATGATCCTCTGTTCTGTGTTTCAAAGAACAAAGACATTTTATGTATTTATATTTATTCAAATTGTCTTTGTTTGGGGTTCTTAATGCAGCTTGTTTATCCTGTAATAAGTTTATTTACTAATTATATACACTGCCTGGATCAGTAACATTCTGGGCTTGTAATTTTTCAAACATCATGGCTACGTCTACACTGGCCCCTTTTCCGGAAGGGGCATGGTAATTTTTGAAATCGCAATAGGGAAATGCGCGGGGGATTTAAATAAAAATGTCCGCTGCTTTTTTCCGCCTTTTAGAAAAGCCGGAAAAGAGCGTCTACACTGGCCCCGATCCTCCGGAAAAAGCGCCCTTTTCCGGAGGATCTTATTCCTACTTCAAAGTACATGGAGCCTGGGATCAGCTGGGGACTCCAGCTGATCCTGGGGTCCATGCGGCGCTGCCGCTTTGTAACGCCGTAGGGAGCCTGACGCTGGGCTGATCCTGGGGCCAGACTCCCTGGGCTGCACACGGCATTTCAAAGCAGCAGCGCTGCGTGGAGCCCAGGGGTCTGCCCCCAGGCTTCAAGCAGCACTGCCGCTTTGAAATATCCCCTCCAATAGAGGCAGCATGGAGAGAAAAGTAACTAGTTGGCTAGCATGTCAACTAGTCCTTCACATCCCTACTTGAAAAGCATAACTAAGATCAGAAAGTGGCCTTCTTGAGGAAAAACATTGATGCCTTAGCTTGTACTCTCTTATCACAGAATCATAGAATACTAGAACTGGAAGGGATCTTGAGAGGTCAACAAGTCCAGTCCCCTGCTCTCATGGCAGGACTGAGACACAGATGAACTGATTCATGTAATGTGGTTGAAGTAAAAAAAAAATTAATTAGAGGAAGAAAAGATTTTTAGTGTAGACATCAGATGGAGCATTTTCATAAATGTTAATTGACAATACAAAGCAGAAATTAAGAAGTATCCTTTGGATCAGTGGTTAAAATTTTTGAAAGCATCTGAGTGAGTCAGGTGCATAAATCTATTTTCAAGTATTTTAGACACTGTGGAAAATGTTGCTGTATTGGTTATCTGTTTACCAAGTCATGTTTTTCTGGTTATTTCTACTTGAATTAAATTATAGAACTTTGCAGGATCAGCTTTTGGAATCTAGAATTGAAATTGTTATAGAAAAATCTTAATGTTTGTATCCTATTTTTTTTTTTTAAATCAGGAGAATTTGTTAATCCACTTTTTGTAATATAACTTTGAAACTGCATGCAGATTAAGATGGGTTAATATTATTTCTATGATGTTTTTATCAGGCACTGCTTATATTCATGGAATGCAACATGCCACAGGGAATTTCATTATTATCATGGATGCAGACCTCTCACACCATGTAAGTTTATATCTAGTGCAGTGTCTTTTCTAAGGCTACGTCTAGACTGGCATGATTTTCCGGAAACGCTTTTAACGGAAAAGTTTTCCGTTAAAAGCATTTGCGGAAAAGAGCGTCTAGATTGGCACGGACGCTTTTCCACAAAAGCACTTTTTGCGGAAAAGCGTCTGTGGCCAAATCTAGATGTGCTTTTGCACAAAAAAGCCCCGATCGCCATTTTCGCAATCAGGGCTTTTTTGCGCAAAACAAATCTCAGCTGCCTACACTGGCCCTTTTGCGCAAAAGTTTTGCACAAAGGGGACTTTTGCCCAAATGGGAGCAGCATAGTATTTCTGCAAAAAGCACTGATTTTTTTACAGTAGGAAGTCAGTGCTTTTGCAGAAATTCAAGCGGCCAGTGTAGACAGCTGGCAAGTTTTTCTGAAAAAGAGGCTGATTTTCCAGAAAAAATGGCCAGTCTATTTTTTAAATTTTTACTGACTTTTCTTCTTTTCCCACCCATCTGCCTGTTTTCAGCCAAAGTTTATTCCTGAGTTCATCAGGTAGGTACCATATTTAAAAAAATATTATTGTATATATTTTAACTGATGGAAGTTTCATTGTGTGTGTGTCCATCTGATGAAGTTTCATGTAACATTTGAATTTCTTCCATTACTGTAAAAACAAGAAGTCCTGTGGCACCTTAAATACTAACACATTTATTGGAGCATAAGCTTTCATGGGTAAAATCCACTATGTCAGATACACTGGAGTGGAAATTACAGATGCAGAAATAAATAAATAAATGCACTAGTATATCAAAAGAAGGGAGTTGCTTATCAAATAGAGGACCAGTGTTAGAGGCCAATTCAGTTAGGGTTAGGAATGTTAAGAAGTGGGTATTTCACTAATCAGGTAGTCGACAACATTTTTATTGACTACACGATTAGTTGATAAGGGAAGGTGCTCAGTCCTGGTTCATGCCAGGTGTGGAGCTACCCCCGCTGCGGCTCTGTAGTTTAAATGTAGTAAGAGCTGGGTGCCCTGCTGAGGAGGAGGTGTGAAAATTGCCTTTATAGTGAGAGAATCATTCTAAATCCTATTCAGTCCTAAATTGATAGAGTTAAAATCAACTTCACAAACTTTCATTACTGTATTGCTACCTCATTGCATTATAAAAGCTGTTTCAAGATTTAGCATGAACTGCCATGAGAAACACAGTCTGGGCAAGGATTTGGGTGAGTCCCAGATATTTCTGAAGTATTAATACTGCTGACAACAAATGGTTAATTCCAAAAAAAATATCAGAGGCTTCAGCAGAAGTTTTATTTGGTTAAGTACTATAAGAACATATCCATAAAGGAAAAAAGGAGAAAGATAAGTGCTTAGTCATTCTTTAACTAGTTCTACTTGGAAAAGTAACTTAGTAAAAATTAGGGATGTAAGAGTGTAGCCATTTAAATGGATAACCAGTTCCTGGTCTGACTGTGGGAAGCCACCTGCCATCTGAGGCTGGCTGCTGCCCCGAATGCAACAATGTAACTGCTGAAATTTTCAGTGGTTACACCATTAGCCGAATACACACCTTTTAACATCCCTAGTAAAAATGGCATCTTCTTACTCCACATTTCTGCTTCGTGTATTTAGTTAGCGTTACAGAAGCGGAATCAAATGAGTACATAAAGTTTTTTACTGTGGTTTTTTTTTAATTATTATTTCTGTTGTGCCTGAAGGTGCTAGGATAGTGGAGAGAGAGCTGGATTCTTTTCCTGCTAGTTTATCATCAGTAGATGTGTTTAGTAAGTTACATGTTTGCAAACTAGTTAAAGGTGATAGAGTTGCATGGGTGTAATTGAGGTACAATGTAGTCTACAAATGATGATGCACAAGAAGGAGAGATCCAAGGTTGACTTTTGCAGGGCTTCCAGTTAGAAAAAATATCTTTTATTTGCAAACTAAATATATTTGATATAGAGTCACTGATAAACAAGTAACCATGGTACTCCAAAATGAAATTATGAATTTTCAGAGTAGAACCAGACTTAATAGACTTAATTCTCACTAATTATGGAGGATTTTCTTTTTCTCTCTCTAATATGTAAAATAAAACTTTTCTTGTAGGACGACAGAGTGATGTGATGACATCACTCTGTGTCCCACCTGCCTCCTCCCTGTCTTCCCAGTGCAGCAGAAGGTGAAATTCCCCTAGATCAAGCCAACCTTGCTATTTCTCCTTGCCACATGAAATTGGTATTTTCAACCAAGCCCCTATTCTCCTTTCTCCACCCCACCCCACAGTGCTTTCAACACGAAGAAACATGGTGCAGTATCTGGCAGACCCCACGTCAAAATCGTGGCAGCCCAGGGGCTTGTGTGCGTGCGTAGCCAGTGCTCAGGGACTGGCACTAGGAATGGGGCTCCCAGCCAGGCTTATATCCCAGCAGTTGGTTCTTGGGGGGCTACCTCACTGCCAGACTCTTGAAGAGCCAGAGCATGGTGCCTGATCACTTGGAGTCATGTTCTACTGGAGTCTCACCCCTCCTAGCAGCTGTACTTACCACTGCTGCCAGAGCACCCATGAGTCGGCTAGGGGAGCTGTCGCACTGATCTGTTGGCTCCTTCCCTTAAGCTGCCAGTGGGTGGGCATCCCTGGGCTCTGCGAGCAGGGCTGGGGCAGTGAACAGCTGAGGCGGGACCTCATGCGGGGAGAGGATGGGACCTGAGCAGGCTGCAGTGCCCCAGAGCACTGCGTGCAGACTGCACTATCTGTGCCTCGCTATGCCCCAGGCAGAGAAGACAGACACCCCTGCGCTTCCCTTGTCCCCCCTCCCTCACCAGATTGCACAGACAGGACAGAGCAGCCTCTTGAGCATAAGCCCTGCCCTACTAAACACAGCCCTTGGGCCCTCAAAGCCCCCAGCTTCCTCAGCCTGCCCCCAGGCTGCCTCCCCCCAAGCCTCCTCCCAGCACTGCTCTTATACAACCTTCCCTCCGTTTCCTCATACTACCCTCAGCCTCTTCCCAGCCCCCCTCCAGTCTTCTTGCAGAGTTCTCAGTCGGTCCTTACCCTCAAGCAGCTTTCTCAGAGCCTCCCTCCCCTGACCCCCAGTCAGCTACACAGCCCAGTCTCCCTCAACACACACAACTCCCCAACCTCCTCAGAGTCCTTGAAACAAGAGCATGCATTTCCCCAACTTTCTGCCTCCCTCCTCCCCCACCCTGGTGCTCTGGGGAGGGGGGAAGCGGGAGCTGCCACAGCTGCAGCCCGGGCCTCCCCTGCCCAGTGGCTGGGGGGGGAGAGGGGGACACCTCAGCCCTCCCCGGAAGTTGGGGCAGGGAGAGCTGGGGCTGGTGCAGCTGCTGGAGGCTGGCAGGAGTGCTGGGGGGGGGCTGGGCCTTGGCCCTTTCTGACAGCCAGGGGGAGGGGAAGGGACAGGCCAGAGCTGCCATGCCTCTGCCCAACCCTCATGAGCAGCTGGGGGAAAAGCCAGGGCTGCCTACACCCAGAGAGAGGGGGTTGTCGAGCATAGCAAGCAGGGGGCATGGCCCCCTAGTAACATTTAAAGTTGTATAAAAAATAATCAAGAGCAAGTATCTTCGAAGTTGTGGTTGGCATGCTGTCTCTAATTTTCTCCTTTCTGATATGTAAGGCAGAAGATCTCAAATAATGGATTTTATATAATGGATTTTATAAAATCTGCAATAGTGCTAGGTACAGTGTAGAAGAGCAAAGAATAGTGTCAGACTCCTCTTTTAATTTCCTTGTTACTATGGTTTGTGGTGTTATTTTAATATGTACTTTGTTTAAAGTCTCCATTTTCCATTGGAGTCTAATTTTTCTTTTGCCACTTTAAAATAAGTAGGTCTAAATAAATTATTCATGAACCAGTCTTTGATGTTCTACAAAATAGATGGTAAAAATCTGAAATAATCCTGCTTTATAAAAATGTGAAGAGTAATTTTTAAAAAAGTATATAAATGTATAGTGCTTATAGCCAACTTAATTGTTGCCTTCGTGCCAATTTCCTGTTTGAAGATCTATAAAATATAAATTTGCTTTAAACTCATACAATGTCTTTTCATATTTGAAATAAATTGTATTCCCTGAAGAAAGCAAAAAGAAGGTAACTTTGATATTGTGTCTGGAACTCGGTATAAAGGAAATGGAGGTGTATACGGCTGGGATTTGAAGAGAAAAATAATCAGGTTAGTATTTTTACTTATGTATTTGTAGATAAAAATTTGAATAGCAAATTTTCTTTTCAAGACTTTCAAAGAAAAGAACCCTTAACCAATAAATCATCATGCTTTTCATCTCTTGGACTCCTCCCTTCCTGGGAGTCCTACTTGCGATTCCCCATGAACTGGACTAGACCTTAAATGACTAGGAAAGACTGTCCAATAAGTCAGGTACTATAGCATTTGACTTTGGAAACCTGGCTTTAATTCCCTGCTTTACCAGACTTTCTGAGAGTGATCTTGGGCAAGTTGCTTAGCCTCTCTGTTTCCCATTCGTACAATGAGTATAATAGCATTTCTCTATCTCCCAAATATGTTGTGAGGCATTGACAAAACAGTGGTGAGAGGACATATAAATACATTAAACAGGACAGTACTTCCCATCACAAAATCACATTTAATAATAGAATAGAAATTTGTATACCTTGAAATTTTCTGCCTAAGGAAGCATCAAGGGAAAAAAAATAACCATGTGTTCTCTTTGGGGATGTTGGACTACTTAGTTCAGAATTGAAAAACTACTGTGGATAAATCTGCAGTGTACAAATTTGGGACAATTTTTGGCTTTGCCATAAATAGAACACTAGCTTCTGCTGCTCCGTTTCTTCCAAGTTCATAGGTATGTACCTTTTTGTTTAATGGTTGTTCAGGCCTTTCCCACAGACAGCAATCCACTTGTTCTCTTTTTGGTTATAATACTGTCTTTCATTTATTAAATGTTATCTAGTACAAATGTTCATGTTAAAAATAATCCCAGTCTATATAAACAATTCCTTAGATCTTGCTAGAAAGTCTAATACATCTTTAACCATGGACTTTTGAAATGTATTTTCTTTAAAGAGAAGAAAAAATAAATAAAAATGGTGTAAGTCACATATGAACATGGAGATAAGCCTTTGAACTCCATGCTGGAGCTGTCAATGAAGGCTGAATAATTGGAGTAGATTTTTTTTTCCTTATGAAGTTTTGCTCCTTTCACATTGTCTGAAGTCTGTTCGCTCAAAACAAGTCTGACTCAGACCTCCAAAGAACTGGGAGCAGAAGCCCTGGCATCATTTTGAAAAGAAATTGGCATCACATCTACTATGTTCAGGATTTTTTTAATGTATGAAATAACTACTCATCATTTTATGAGACACAAAGGGGTGGGAAGTGAGATAATATCTCTTGTTGGACCAACTTCTGTTGGTGAGAGCGACAAGTTCTTAGCTTACACAGAATGCCGTACATTTCCGCTAATGTGGGTGTGTTTTTCTCCTTGGATTTAAGTCAGAACCCACAGGAACTGATGAAGATAGAAAAATCATTCTTAGGCTGGAAACTGGTAGAATTGAGGACACAATAATATAGCTTTATTAAGTCTGAAGAAAAGAGTTTCATTCTTGGAGAGGGACTACTTGCTAGCTAATTGGATAAGGTAAAAACTAAATGGGACCCTCAAACCAAGAGCTGCATACTCAGAATAAATAGAAATACTTTTTCATATACTTCAAACAATTCAAATCAGTCAGTCTCTTATTAATACATTTCTGATAAATAAAAGTAATATCAGAATAATACAGAGTTATATATGAAGTCATGCCATTTTACTTTTGTGAGACTTGAATGACTTGACCATAGTCACACAGGAAATATTACTGAGCCAAGAACTGAACACAGGTATTATGCAGATAAGATTAATGTGTTGTCGGCTAGGCCGTCATTCCTCCTTTATAGGGAGCATTAGCCAAGAAGAAGACTAATCTATTGCAAAATATTTTTGCAATATAGTTTTAATTCCTGTTTGCTATACATTGTAACATAATGTTTGGTTTCTGTGTGGCATTTCTGCTATAAAATGTAAAAGGATAGCAAATCTGGCTTTTCACTTTCAGTTGAAAAGCAAAATATATATTTACTCATCTAAATGTTTTTACTTCAAATTCTACATTTATTAATCCAGTCTAGGGTAGTGAAAACCTATTTAGCTATGTAACTTTCCATATAAGGCAATACCTCAGAATAAATAGAAATTATTTGTTAATTTTTATGTTAAAATGATACTTTTTTGTGAAACCCCTGCTTGTGCTTCCAAAACTTTTATATTTTGAGTGGTTACTGACACGCATATCCTCTTTGACAGTCGCGGTGCCAATTTTGTAACTCAGGTTTTGTTGAGACCAGGTGCATCAGACTTAACAGGAAGTTTCAGGTATGTGGTTCATTTGTTTTGGATGGTTTTTATTTTTTTTAACTATGACATTAAAATGTTCTCAGTTGCTAGCCAAGAAAGATGAATTGGAGTTATACGAGCCTACTCCTAAAACTTTGTAGTAATTACTTTTAAACAGCAGTAACATGGGTAGGCTGTTAGTATAATGTCTGTACATGTTATCTTTGTATCTGAAATCCAAAGTTTTGCCACAGGTTTCAGTTTCATTTCAATTTACAGGTTATACAGAAAGGAGGTCTTGCAGAAACTAATGGAAAAATGTGTTTCTAAAGGATATGTCTTCCAGATGGAGATGATTGTTCGAGCTAGACAGTTAGGATATACTGTTGGAGAGGTACAGTAAAAGTATAAGAATAATTTTGTACTGTAAATGTGGGTACAGGCTATTAGAAGCAAATAAACTGATGAGCAAGATCTTCTAGGAAGTGTCATTCGCAACTATAGGCTGAGATTTTCAAATGAGCCCAAGAGCATGCAACTCTGTCTCCAACATAATTAAATTTTATACTTGCACTCGTAGCAGATTTTTTTTTTTTGCCACTTACCTTCCCCTCCTTCCTCCACTTGTGTCTCTGTTCAGTATCTTGCATATTTCTTCCAAGAGAAAATTGACAAAATATGATGTGATCTTCTGTACCTTTGTTTTCTTTTCCGTCCCTTCCTGTAACTCTCTCTCCTTCCCTCCCTCCTGTCAGATGTAGAAGTTTACCACCTGCTCTTCTCCACTTAGCCCTTCACTTGTTCTAGGAGTTGCAACTCATCCCAACTCTTGATCTCCCTTGCATCTGCTTCTAGTTTCCATTGTCCACTTACTAAATTTCCAAACCTCTGTGTAGTTTCTCTTGATTGGTAGAAGCTCTTTGTACACATCCATAAAGTTATCTTGCTATCCTCCTTCAAAAGCTTCTTAAAATTCTCCTTTGCCAGGATGCCTAAAATATAGTTTGACAACAGTTAGGCTGCTGGTACACTGAAGGTACATCTATACAGCAATGTTATTTCGAAATAACTTAACTTCCTGCTTGTGTAGAGGCAAACTATTTCAAAATACTGTCAACCTGGAGGACTTCTTAGTCTAACTCCTATAAACCTCATTGTATGAGGAGTAAAGGAAGTTGGAGGAAGAGTGCTCTATTTTGAAATAAGCTACGCAATTAATTTAGTTCAATTTGCATAGCTTATTTTGAGTTAAGCACTGATGTGTAGATGTACTCAGATATAATTGCTTATCATGCTGACCAACAGTATCTCATTGTTTTCTTGTACTCTGTCCACTTCCTGTCTTACACAGAGATTGGGTCAGTGACAGTCTTATGTCTGGAGTGCCTTGCACAATTGGGTCTAGGTCCATGGCTGAATCTCCTAGGTCCTGTGGTAATGCAAACATTAATTATGATAAATTCTCTAGCTTGAAGCACTTATGACACATGTTCCCTCTAAGATAGTGGTCACCAACCAATAGATCGGGATCTTCTAGTAGATCTTGGAGCCATTGACTGGTGATCCTGACAGGTTTGGCAGGAGGCTATCAAGTGCTGGCACTTCATCTGCCCCTCTCAGCGCTGTCATGCTTTCCTCCCCTCTGCCTGGGAGGTGTCCCCCACCCCCAGGAGCCTCTTGCTTGCTGTGTAGGGCAGAGGAAGAAGAGGTGGGGTTGTTGATATCCGGGTTCTCCTTCCCCCACCCTGTACCTCATCTCCCCAAAGTGGTGAGGGCAGGGATGGAGCATGTTTCCTGGATGCTTTTGGGAGTGGTATAAGCCCAAAGTAGGGGTAAGCCTGCCTTAGTCCCCTGCACCACTACCCAGAAGCCACCTGTGGTAAGCAGTGCCCAGCTAGAACCCACATTCTGAACCCCAGCCCTGGACCTCTTCTGTATCCCAAATTCCAGCCCTAGCCCTGAGTTCCCCTGCACCCAAACTCCCTCCCAGAGCCTGCACCCTGAACCTCCTCCTGCACCTTAACTCCCTGTCCCAGGCTCAGCTCAGAACTCCTTCCAAATCCTTTAGCCAAACATCAAAGTCCGCACCTCCCTCCCCTGCACTCCAGCTCTCTGCCTCCAGCCTGATAAAAGTGAATGAAGATATGGGAGGGAGGGAGAATGGAGTGAGCAGGGGCGGGAACAAGGTAGGGCAAGGGTGCTTGGGTTTGAGATGCATCCTGGATTGCACTTAAGTTAAAAAAGTGATCTCATGCTTAAAAAGGTTGGAGACCACTGCTCTGCAGCAAGGGCAGAGACACCCCTCCCTGGGCCATGCCTGCTGAAGTTCCCAGGGCAGTAGAAAGGTAGCTCTCGTCTAGCTGCAAGCTGCTACAGTGAAAGAACTTGGGAGAGTCTTCTCTCCCTGTGGCAACTTGCATTTCAAGCCCTTTGTCCCCAGCTCCACCACAAAGTCCTCATCCCTGAACCCCAACCCTCTGCCCAGCCCTGAGTCCCCTACCATACTCCAGTCTCTTGTCCCCATCCCCCACCGTACACTGTTCATGTGCAGAATGACTTCTGTTATGTGCAACAGTGTGGAGGTGATGTGTCCTCCATATTTTGGTGCATGTAACACAAGTCATTCTACAAATTTAAATAAAAAAATTAGAACACAGCTCATGACACATTTTAAATCGTGTATAAGAACCATACAAATACTTATTATAAAACCTGTCCAAAACAGATCTTTCAGGCCCTGATTTTTCAGAAAAAGTGGGCACATAGATATGAATGCAGATTTCATAATTGAAGATGTTAGGGTTTAATTAGGTGTATTTGTGTGTGTATGTTCACACTGTTATAGAATCTGCACACAAATATTAGGATTTCACTTCTGTGACCTAGAAGTGGCAGGTGGCTCCCTGGGAGCTGGACCAGGAGCCACATGTAGCCATGTGGGTAACCAATGAGCTCCTGCTTATTGGTTACCCATTTAAATGGCTACACTCTTACATCTCTATTTTGTATTGTGTAAAATTCACTTTGTACATAGGATTACAAATTTTGCACAATGTAAATAGTGGCCATTAAAATATGACACTCTTAAGCAGGAAGGTGTTAGTTCAGCAATATCTTAGGGGAGAAATTCTAATTCTGTAGAGGAAGTTGTACCCTAAAATTCTGTGATATTGGATAGCTTCTGAATACAAAATGTTTTCTCTTGACTATTCGTGAAATACCGTGCCACTTGAAGCATCCTGCACTGGCTTCCTCTCCAGAATGAAGTTACTGATTTATTTTTCTTTCCTAGCCCAGCTAAATATAACTGTTAAGGTGCTTGTCAGTGTTGTTAAAAGGATCCGAATGAAAATGCTGAATGGGTTTGTTAGATGTCTTAGTTTTATGTTTTTCCTTGGCTAGCTGTTCTTATTTGTAAGAGGTAGATCTGTATCTGCCAGATGATTGCCTTGGCCTCTCTTTTGGTATAGGCAGCTGTGCATGAGACATACACAGTTCTGGCACAATAACAAGGGGCTGCAGGGGCATTACATATGCCAGCTGATTCTGATTAACATTGACAGTTGAGTGCAGATCCAAATTTTTATTTTATATGGTTCTGCAGAAATAATTTTGTTGAATTCGTATGCTGGACTATTATTATTTGAATGCTGGACTATTATTATTTAACACATACTAGAATATTATTTAATATTAGAATATTAAGAGTTCCTTTAGAACTGTAGGAATGGAAGAAACCTTAGTAGGTCATAAGAATAGCCATACTGGGTCAGACCAAAGTTACAGCTGGACCAGTATCCTGTCCTCCAACAGTGGCCAATGCCAGGTACCCCAGAAGGAATGAACAGGTAATCATCAAGTGATCCTTCCCCTGAAACCCATTTCCAGCCTCTGACAAATGGAGGCAAAGGACACCATTCCTACCATCCTGGCTAATAAGCATTGATGAACCTATACTCCATGAATTTATCTACAGGCAGTCCCCGGGTTACGTACAAGATAGGGACTGTAGGTTTGTTCTTAAGTTGAATCTGTATGTAAGTCGGAACTGGCATCCAGATTCAGCCGCTGCTGAAACTGATCAGTTTCAACAGCGG